TATGCATTTTAAATGGTCATTGCATTTACATTTATACTTCTTATTTAGATTTTTAAAAAGGCCCTAGTCAGGTAGCTTAGTTGCTTAGAGCGTTGTCCCCATACACCAAAGTTGCAGATTTGATCCCTGGTCAGGGCACATACAAGAATTAACCAATCAGTGCATGGATGAGTGGAACAAGTTCTCTCTCTCTCTCTCTCTCTCTCTCTCTCTCTCTCTCTCTTCTCTCCCCACTGAAAAATCAACAACTAAAAATTAAAAAAATAAAACTTTAACAAGTCTCTCTCTCCCGCACCCCCACCACTCTCTCCTTCCCTTCCTCTCCCCTTTTCTTGAGGAGACTTAAGAAATGATTTAAAATAAATAAATAATAGGTCTTAAGAATAGATCACCTTAGCTGAGAATTTGGTTTATTTACCTGGCTTATAGTAGAGAAGACACTGCTATTCCATTTTAAAAATGAGGCAACAGATGTCCAGAGAGTGGGGCAACACCCATTATTTACTAGCTACGGGAACCAAAACTATTTTTGGTTAATTTACAAAATGATATACAAATTGTTTTTCACTTCTCATCAATGATGACACAATAAGCTTCTCAATTATCTTGCCCTCTTAAAACTGAGGTTAAGCATATTTTAACTTAAGCATCTGTAAGAAGCAACTGAATGTCTCCAAATATCTAGTAGTACTATTGTATACTATTTTATCAATAATTCATAAAATTAGTAAGTAATATTAGAAGTGACAATAAATTATTCATCAAAAGTTTAGCTGTTTAAAGATTGAGAAGTTAATAAAAGAGATAAAGAATGAACTAGCAAGCTTAGAAAATGGAGCTGACCAGGTAGAGGAAAGTATTGGTGACATTGAAAATAGAAATCTAGAAATGACTCATATGGAAGAACAGAGAAACTTGAGAGTAAAAAAAAAAAAAACCACACAAAAACCCAACTCTACAAGAACTAGCTGACTTCATCAAAAAGAGTAATGTAAGAACATTAAGTATACCAGAGGAGATACGTGAGAGAGAAGGGAACAGATAGTCTATTCACACAAATAATTGACAAGAATTTCCAAAACCTATGGAAAGAGCTAGGTCTAGCTCTTCAAATCCAAGAAGCAGAAATAAAAGAAAAAGAAATAAAAGGCATCCAAAGTAGGAATGAAGAAATAAAATAGTCACATTTTGCAGATTACACAATTCTTTTTATAGAAATCCCTAAAGACTCCATCTAATATACTATTAGAAACAATAAACAGATACAGTAAAGTTGTAGCATATAAAATAAATGCACAAAAAATCCATTTGAGTGTATGGTGATAGAAGGAGATTTGATTTTGGATTGTGGGCACATATGCAATATACAGATAATGCCCAGAACTATACACTTAAAACCTATGTAATTTTATTAACCAATGCAACCCTATTAAATTTAATAAAAAATCAAAAATATTTATTACATTCCTATATAGTAACAACGAAGTTTTAGAAAAATTAAATTCACTTTGCAATTGCAATAAAAAGAGTAAAACACCTAAAAATAAATGCAATAATGGATGTGAAGGACCTATAAACTGGAAACCACAAAGCCTTATTAAAAGCGACAGAAAAAGACACAAAGAAGTGGATATCCCATTTTCATGGATTGAAAAAAATCAATATAATTAAAATGTACAAATTACTCAAAGCAATATACAGATTTAATGCAATCACCATCAAAATCCCAATGGGGCCCTGGATGGGTAGCTCAATTGATTAGAGAATTGTCCTCAAATGCCAATGTTTGATACAAGAATCAACCAATTAATGCATAAATAAGTGGAGCAATAATTCTCTCTCTCTCTCAAATCAATTTTAGAAAATTCCAATGGCATTTTTAAAAGAAACAGAACAAAAAAAAATCATCATATTTGTATGGAACCACAAAAGACCCCAAATAGCCAAAGCAATCCTGTGAAAAAAAGAATGAAGCCAGAGGTGCCATACTCACTGACTTCAAATTATACTACAAAGTAATGATGATCAAAACAGCATGGTATTGGCAAAAAACAGACTCACAGACCAGTGAAATAAAATGGAGAGACCAGAAGTAAACCCAGGAGTATATGGGCAGCCCTGGATGTTTTACCTCAGTGGTTAAAGCATCATTCCATGGAAAGAAGGATCCAGGTTTGATTCCTGGTCAAGTGCATGTACATGGGTTGCAGGCCCAATCCCAGCCCAGGGTTGGGGCATGTGTAGGAGGCAACCGATTTGATGTGTCTCTCACATAGATGTTTCTCTTTCTCTCTCTCCCCACTCCTTCCCTTCCACTTTCTCTAAAAGTCAATGGAAAAACAATACCCTCAGGAGGATTAATAGAAAAAAGAAAAGTATATGGGCAAGTGATTTTTAATAAAGGAACAAAACACATACAATGGAGAACAGAAAGCTCTTTAATAAATGGTGCTAGAAAACTGAAAAGCCATATGAAAAGACTAAAACTAGACTTCTGTTTGTCTCCACATACAAAAATTAACTCAAAATGGATCAAAAACCTAAATATAAAACCTGAAATAATAAATTACATAGAAGAAAACATAGATACTAAACTTATGGATCTTGATCTTAGGAAGGATTTTATCAATTTGACCCCAAAGGCAATGGAAGTAAAGTTAAAAGTAAGTGAATGAGACTATATCAGACTAAAAAGCTTCTGCACAGCAAAAGAAACTGCCAACAAAACAAAGGCAACCATCAAAATGGAAGAAGCCATTTGCAAATAAGAGCTCTGGCAAGGGGTTAATAACTAATACATATAAAGAACTCATGTAACTCAACACCAAAAAACAAACAATCCAATTAAAAAATTGTCAGGCAGTTCTCCCAAGAAGACATACAAATGGCCAACAGGTATATGAAAAGATGCTCAACTTCTCTAGTTATTAGGGAAATGCAAATCAAAACTACAATGAGATACTACCAAACCAGTCAGAATGGCTATTATCAATAAGGAATATCTATAATAATAAAAGCATAATGTGCCAATTAGACTGAACGTCCTTCCAGACAACCTTCCCGACGAAGCCCAGGTCCTGGGTGCCAGCTGGCTGCCAAAGGGAAGCCTGGGTCCCGGGTGCCAGAGGGAAGCCAGTGCTGGCAGCCAGGGGAAGGAAAGGCCTACTCTTGTATGAATTTCATACATTGGGCCTCTAGTGATAAATAAGAAGTGTTGGAGAGGTTGTGGAGAAAAGAAACCCTCAATCATTGCTGTTAGGAATGTAAACTGGTACAGCAACTATGGAAATCAGTATAGAGGTTTCTAAAAAAAAATTAAGAATAGATTTACTCTATGACTCAGCAATCCATCTTCAGGATACCTACCTGAAAATTTGAAAATTTGCAAAGATATATATGCACTCTTTTTGTTCACTGCAACATTATTCACAGTGGCTAAACTATAGAGACAACCAAAGTGTCCTCTGATAGATGATTTGATAAAGATGTGGTACATATATACAATGAAAGGCTACTCAGCCATAAGAAAAGATGAAATACTGACATTTTTTACAACATTGATTGATCTTTAGAGTATGATGCTAAAGAGAAATATGTCATATAGAAAAAGTCAACAATCATAAGATTTCCCTCATATGTGGAATATGCAACTAAAAGCAACAAATGAACAAACAAGACAAACAAACAAAAAACTCATAGGCACAGACAACACCATAGTGGTTACTAGAGGAAAGGAGATGAGGAGGTATTAAAGGATACTGGGGGGAAGGATATCAAATATATGGTGATATCCATATATTTGAATAAAAGTATATATCCATATACTTGGTGAAAAGAGATTTGAGTTTTGGTGGCAAACACACAAAGCCATATATAATAATGTACCATGTAATTGTTTACTTGATACCTGTATGATGTTATTAACCAATGTTATGCCAATAAATTTAATAAAAAGCTTAGATGTTTATGTGGCTTGCCATCCAGGTGCATTCAATACAGATGGAATAAATCTAACTTCAGATGTAAAACTCAAATCTGTAAGGTGATCAAAAACTTTGAAGAATTAAATGGGTATATAAATATGACTAAGATACACTTTTGATATATCTGGGCCCTACATCTGTCTTCCATAATATGGAGCTATTGTTTTAAATATTAAATATGATGTATAAAGCGGATATCACAGTACCATTGTGATATAGAGGAAATAATTAATGTGAGTTGAATAAACTCAAATACTAAGTAAATTAATGATGAAGCAATTCATTCTCAATTATCTTTATTTACATTTATGCCCTCCAATTTTGGATTCCAATTACTATTAATTTTAGCCCTCAACAATTCACTGCTTGGTGTATCAGTATTACCTCCTATCAAAGTCAAAGGTTGTTTTATTTCACTTATATGTTGTTTTTTTTCAGTCTGCACTACATTTTAACTGTCATTTGCTATACTTGTGGATTAGAGACTGACTTGGCAAATAAGGAACTAGGGTCACTATTTCTCTACTTCCTCTCCTCATCAACCAACCAATTACTCAATAAAATAAATTGGTTTGGAGGCACAATTGTATTCTAGGGACAAAGAAAACTGTCAGTAGGTTCAACATGGGAGAAATAAGCACAGTTTTTTGTAGGTTAATAAAAGTAGTTCCTGAGGCTGAACATATGCGGTGGAGAGCAATTAATAAGTACATACAGGATAGCCTAAAAGTAGATTTATAGTTGTTTGTAGGAAAATAATACAAAATTAATAAATAATAATACAAGAATAAACTCTGTGTTTCACATACTCACAGCTATAAACCTACTTTTGTCCCAACCTGCATATGGACTCTCCAGATTACAAAGGGTCTTACAAACTAATTAGGATAACTGAGACCTAATTAATAGAGCAGAAGAAGCCATTGAAGTACTTTTGGGTAATAGACAAAATATAATTAAAATCATGTTAGAAGATTAAGACTCTAATATCTTAAGAATGATCGAAGGGAGAGAGACCATAGATTTGTTTCAGGAAGGCTGAAGAGCCACAGCACTGCAGAGTTCCCTTCACCATGATGGCAATGCGGTCCCCCAGGATGTCAGCTTCATCCATGTGGTGGGTGGTCATTACGATGGTGCGGTCCTGTTTATACTGCTGAAGGAGGTCCCAGGTGGCTCTTTGTGAGATGGGGTCCATGCTAATTGTGGGCTCATCAAGCATCACCACCTAGAGACCAGAAGAACAACTCCATGACCATTGATAATTGATGCCAAAGTACTTGTGGAATAATTTACTACTTGAGGGGAACACATTTAAACTAAGATACAAAATCAAGACTAATAATAATGGTAAAAACTAGAAAAAATAATCCCAAACCACATTATAACAGCTCACCCAATAATGCAAATTCTCTTTAATTATCATTGGCCACATCCCCATAAGGTTCATCTCAACTCTCAGGTTTCTGTCAGCTGAGTTTCCTGGATCAGCTGGCAGGAACCCATTTTCAGTACATGTATGTGTGCATGCCCTTCCCACCCCGCTCCCTCCTTTTTCTTTATTTCTTCTCTAATACCTCAGAGTCTACTATAAGTGCTATCATGACGGAGAGTTTGCGCTTCATTCCCGAACTCAGTGACTTTGACATTATATTACACTTTTCTAGCAAGTTAAAAGTAGACAGCATATGGTCAGCTTCCATAGGGTACATCTCTTGACATTTTCTTTTTGACTAGAAAGAGAAGCCAGAATTTACATGATGCCAACTTTATCCTCAGAGAGTTCTTAGATCATAACACATCTACAAAGGTTAGCAAAAATAAGTTTACAGTTGTTAGTATGTGAAACACACAGTTATTCTTGTATTATTTGTTAATTATTGTATTTTGTTTGTATTATAATGGTAAGACACATCAGCACTTGGATCAGGAAGAATACTAGAACCAGAACTTGAAATACAACTGAACTGGTGTTGAGTTTACCATTTTCCCCTTGTGTATGCCCTAGCCTGAACACAAAGCAATCCAAAGCCTGGAAATGCAGTGAAGTGTAAATAGAATGAGATTAAGGAGAAACCCGCTAGTTCTTGTTTGAGGAGTGGAAAAGGGAAAACCCCTAACGTTCTGAGAGAGTGTAGAAGGCCCAATCCCATTTCCCCTCTGCTCTCTTGTGGCCCAGACCATGGGAAGTCTTCTGGGCGGGATGGTGGCAAGAATAGAAAATAATGGGAACCCTCAATGAGCTCAAGTGGTGAGGAAGGTGAACCTTCTCAGTGTAGTCAAGCCCTGTATCCAAAAGGACAGGGCCAAACCTGCCTGCTTTGTACCACTCTCTCTGTCTTCCTGACACGTGGATGTGGCATGATCATGAAAGTCAGTGATTTCTGGCTGGGAGACTGAAAGAGAAATTTTTGGGAACTGGAACATTCTGGGGAAGTTGTTGGTGAGCTCATGTGTTCACTCTGTCATTTGCACACATGGATATAATCCTAATTAGAATACCAAATTTTAAAAATTATGCTGAGTAAATCTCTACCAAGATGTGTAGTGACCAATGGGTAACACAGGCTGAGACTAAAATAGCACTATTAAGATTGAACTAATATGGGAACCACAGCCCACAGATATAAAAAAAGATGTAGTGTCACGATATATTATTGAAAACATTCAGGATAAAAACAAAAGTCAATTGGCACACAAAAATCTCATCTCATATAGAAAAGACAATCAATAGACATCAATGATAGGATGGCATGGATGTTGGAATCTGTAATAGTAAAAGTGTAATATGCAAATCGACCGAATGGCTGAACAGCAGAATGATCAACCGGACAACCACACTATGACACCCACTGGCATCAGGCCAGCTAACATGGGTGCGATGCAATTGGTCAGGGGTCCAGCCATCGCCCCACTGATCGCCCTGCAGAGGGAGGCCCAGGCCACTGGCCAGTGGGGCAATCGATCAGGGGGTGTGTGGCAGTGGATGCGGGCAGCACCAGGCCAAGGCGGATGCAGGCGGGCGGCGGGGCTGCGAGGCAGCTGGGACCACGAGGGCCCTGGCAGCTGGAGCTGTCAAGACCTACCCTTGCATGAATTTCATGAATTAGGTTTCTAGTTAACATATAAAGTATTATCAACATATCGAAAATATGAAGAAATAAAATGAAATTTTAGAACTAAAAATTTTAAAAATATTTTCATTTATATCAGAGAGGGAGAGATAAAAACATCAATTACGAGAGAGAATTATTGATAGTTTGCCTCTTGTATGTGCCCCACTGGGGACCAAGCCCACAATCTGGGCGTGTGTTCTGACTGGGGATCAAATGTGACCTCCTGGTTCATAGGTCTGATGCTCAATCACTGAGCCACACTGGCAGGGCTAGAACTAAACATTTAATAACCCAAATAAAAAGCTCATTTGGCTTAATAGTAGAATAGAAGTGACAGAAAGAAGGGTCAGTGAATTTGAAGATAGATAAATAGAAATAATACATTCTGAACAATAGAAAGAAAAAATAATTATGAAAAATGAAAAAAGCCCAAGGGACTTTTGGGAGAACTTCATGTCATAGAACTTCTAACATGAGAGAAGAAAGAGTATGTGGCTAAAATAATAATTGAAGAAATAATGACAGAAAACTTCTCAAATTTGGCAAAAGATACAAACGTATAGATTGAAAAAGCTGATTGAACCTGATCTAGATAAATCATAACCAAATTGCTGAAATGTACAGACAAAGAAAAACTCCTGTCAGAACTCAAAAAAAATGATTAATTATAGGGGAATAATTCAGATGAATTTTGATGTTTTATAAACATGGTGTCCAGAAAGGAGTAGGACAACATTTAAATCTTTTTATTGATTGATAAAGAGAGAGAGAGACCCACCCATTACACACTTATTGATTGCTTCCTGTATGTCCCCTGACTTGGACTTGAACCTGCAAACTTGGTGCATTTGGATGATCCTCCAACCAGCTGAGCTATCCAGTCAGGGCAAGAACATTTTTTTCAGTCCTCACCCAAGGATATTTTCCCATTGATTTCTAGAGAGAATAAAAAGGAGAGAGGAGGGGGAGGGATTTCTAAAGGGAGAGAGACAGAGACAGAGAAGCATCAATGTGAGAGAGATACATCGATTAGTTGTGTCCCACACATGCCCCACCGGGACCTGGGAACCTGCAACCACGGTAAATGCTCTTGACTGGGAATTAAACCCATGACCCTTTGGTCAACAGGCTAATGCCTAACCACTGAGAAAACTGGCCAGGGCAAGAACAACATTTTTTTTAAGTGCTAAAGGAAAAGAACCACTGACTCAGATTTCTATGTCAAGTAAAAAATATCCTTGTGAATTAAGGACACTCTCAGGCGAAGGAAAACTAAGAGACTCTTCAGCGAAGAGTTTTGATGTAAATGGACTGATACAGAATGCTTTTCAGACAGAAGAGAAATGATGCAGAAAACTCGAAACATCATGAATAATGAAAGCACAGCAGAAATGGTAAATATAATAACTATTATTTTCTTATGGTTTTTAAACACACTAGATCATTTTAAGCAAATATTTTCTGGTAATGTTTTCAGAACGGTGGGGCCTTGACTTACGAGTTTAATTTGTTCTGTGACGGAGCTCGTAACTTAAAGTGAACGAGTGAGACACGTGATCCTGGGCTGATGTTGTGGCGTTCACTGTGACGTTCACTGCACCAACTAGCGGTGGGGTATCTGAAGCTGGCTCATAACCCGAATTTTAGCTTGCAACTCAAAGCTCGTATCTCGAAAAACTCGTTAGTTGGAACACTCGTAAGTCAAGGCCCCACTGTATATGTATGTCATTTATGCCAACTATAGCCTAAGCAGGGGTGGGGAACATCCTGTTCACAGGCCATATATGGCCCGCAAATCATTTCATCTGGCCCTGTGAGTTAATTAAATGTTTGACAAAATATAGCAGGCTAATTTTAAGTTGATAGTTTTTTATGGCCTGCGGATGCTGTTATAAATATCCAAATGTCCCTTGGCAGAAATAGAGTTCCCAACCCGGCCTAAAGGAAGGACCTACAGTGTGGTAAGATATCTACATTCAAATAAAGTTGAAAACTATTAATTACAACTAATTGAAAAGCTAAAGTCTGTATTTTGTAACCCCTATAATAACCAATAAAAATGTATACAAGATATAAAATAAAGTAAAATAAAAATCAAAATAAACAAAATGGAATATGAAAGAAGCCCAAGAAGTCCAAGTAACCCAAAATAAGACTGCAAAGAGGAATCAGAGGTAGTGGCGGTTGTGGGGAAGCAGTGAGAAAAACAGAAAATAATAAAGTGATACATTTACATCTAAACATATCAATAATTACATTAAAAATAAATAGTTTAAACACATCCATTAAAAGACTATCAAATTGTATACAAAACATGACCCAACTATACAATCTCTACCAAAACTTGCTTAAAACTTAATTATATAGTTAGGTTTAAAGTGTTTGAAGGAATACCATGCAAACACAAATCAAAAGAAAGCTGGAATGGTTATATTAATATCAGATAAAGTTGACTTTATAGCGAAGAAAATTACTAGAGAAAAAAAGAGGCAAAACAGAGCAAGTGCCTGGTATGTGGTGCCTTGTTGTATTGTATTCTGTGCCTTTAAATCAACGCAGCAGATCCAAGCAACAGCAGCCTCCTGAGCACCACGCCCTCTGTCTAACGAACAGCAGCTGTACATGAAGCCTCCCCCCACCAGCCAGAAGAGACACCATAGCTGTGAACAGCACCCACCAGAGGAGCTGTTGCCAACTGAGGAGCAGCTGCTACAATAACTGCCTGAGGAGCAACCACAGCCCGAGGAGCCACTGCCACCCAGGGAGCAGCCACTGAATGACTCAACATCTAGATATGTTAGTGAGATCAAACATGGGTAGACAAAGAAACCCCCAAAGAAAAGAAAAGGAGGACTCGCCAGAAAAGCAGCTAGTGATACAGAGACATGAAATATGACAGAAAAAGAATTCAGAGTAAGGGTCCTAGAGTGCATAAACCAGGTGGACGAAAAAAAATCAATAACATATGCAAGAAGCTAGAA